TTTTCCGACAGTTTGCAAGTGTCATGCTGAGTCTGAGACTGTTGTCTTTATGGCTGAAAAAAATTGATTCTTTTTAGATCTGTTGTAAAACAGAATCTGAGTGAAGTCAATCTTGGAAGTAGAGAGGTATTAAGCAGGATTAATGGTCACAGACAAGCTTTAAACACATTTTTGTAATGTAATTCAATCTAACAACTTAGCAGACCTGTTTGGGAAAGTGCATTAGACCAAATGGACTGAGTGTAAATATTTTGTATTGGTTTTAAGGTTTGGAACTAGCTACAAAGCTGTGGTCTGCTGATCAAGTTTCTCATGTGGAGGCTTGATTAGACCCCGTGCAGGCCCATCCAGAAAGCCCAGCTGTGTATCTGAGGCTTCCTAAATCAGCTCTAATTTAGGGTTCTAATTAATATCTCTCACATAAGGTTTTCTCCAGTGCCCTTACTCTGAAGTACCTGGTTGTTTATAGACCAGACAGAATCAGTCAGTGCGTGGAATAGAAGCTGGCAGGAAGAGGCACGATTTGAAAAGATACATCGTGCAGATTTGCGGTCCTTGACTTCTGCTTTAGTGCCTCGTGTTGAGCTCAAGAAGGGCACGGAAGAGCTTTGAAGAGCTCCTAGCCACTCCGTGTCACAGCTCCACTGCTGTCAATCCCGTGGCGCTGGTACTTGCACAGCGACCCTGGCGCCTGCTGTAAAGCATCCCTGGAGCATCTGTGACCTCTCCCACCCACACGAGCAGCCCTGTCAGCACTTGCTGTCCTTGTGCCTCATCACGTGGTGCATTCACTCTGCAAAGATACCGATTTCTAAGTCTCCAAGCTAAAATTAAATTGCCAAGAATGCAAAGGGCATCAGCCCCTCTTCCCTGTCCCAAAGGTCACGTTTCACCCTTTGCGGTTTGACTGACGGTCTTCTGGGAGGTGGAGAGGAGGAACTCGTGCTCATGAGCACCAAGTTCATGGTCTGAAGATTGATTCCAAGGGACAGCACTTACATATTTCCATGATGAGTTGGAAGCTTGTATGATCACTCGACTGTGTCATGTGAACACAGGGAGTAAATGATGAAATGATCCCTTCACTTAGAAGTTTTAATAACTGCTTTAATAAGTTTAACCCCTCTTGCCTCGAGACAGGTTTGCCTAATCTATCTTTATTTGGGAAGAAACTTCCCTGTAGGTGTCCACTGTGGTGGGTTAATAAGCTTCTGTGGTTATTCAGGTAATGGCCTTTGAAATAGATGGTGCATCTGTTGGTGGGTCTCTAATGACATCTAATTTCTGGAAAATTAAATTTAAAGATATGAATTGTTAAATTCAGCTGTGTATGTGCCTATGCAAGGAAGATCTACAAAATATGAAAGTGGGTGTTTTAATCCTACAAACTGACATATCAAGAGAAATTATTTCCAACATATGATGGAGGATGAATTAAGGCCACTTAATTCCATGGCTTTTCACAGATAAGATAAAAATTTCACCCTCTCTGTACAGTTGCCTTTCAAGAATGTTGGGGTACTGAAGATTTGGGGTACTGAAGTTGCTAGTTCTCTTTTTGTGGCGTGACAGTGTATTGACAGTGATAATGTAGAAGGCACACAAAGTCAAACTGTGAAGTGATCTTACCATGTATTCCCCTGAACATCTCCTGAGGGAGAGGCGGAGTAGGCCTGAGGGAAACAGGGGAGCTAGGACCCAGGGTAAAGCTGGTGAGTAGGCCGGAGAGTAAACAAGGGGAGTAGGTATGAGAGTAAAGAAGGGGAGTAGACCTGGGGGTAAGCGGAGGGAGTAGGACTGAGGGTAAACGGCGGGGAGGGGGATAGGATTGAGGGTAAACAGGGGAAAAGGGACTGAGGGTAAACAGGGGGAGTAGGCCCAAGGATAAACGGGGAGTAGGACCGAACGTAAACGGGGAGTAGGACCAAGGGTAAACAGGGGGAGTAGGACTGAGGGTAAAGGGATGTTAAAAAGGCACGTTAGGAGTGATAAAATTATCAGAATCTCACAGATTATTGAAAGCCTTAGAGGTTACAAAGAAATGTCCTTAGTTTCCTTTACATTTCTCTAAAACTTTTTCAATATTTTTGTGAAATATTCATGAAAGGAGGTAGAGTTATTGTGAGTTACGCAATCGGAATGAAAACATCTTCTTTTTTTGGACATCTCTTGCAGTATTTGAGAGCTGTTGCTCTCACCACTTTGTTGCAAGGTCATTTCTGTCAATACCATCCAGAGGGCTGTCCTCATGGTCTCTCTAACCATGGTTTTCCCTGTGAGCAAGGCCCCACCTTGGTGCTTTCACCTCATATTTGAGAGCTGTTGCTCTCACTACTTAGTTGCAAGGTCATTTCCGTCAATACCATCCAGAGGGCTGTCCTCATGGTCTATCTAACCATGGTTTTCCCTGTGAGCAAGGCCCCACCCTGGTGCCTTCACCTCACCATTTATTCCCTCTTGTTCTCCTCCCAATGCTTTCAGTGTATTTTTCTTGATTTAGCTCTCTCATTCCATCAATTTATGTAATTCCATCAGTTTATCTCAGAAAGGAAACAAAGCGTGTAGGCCCACTCCAAAGTACTGCTGTTTTCTTTTTCTTTTTTTTTTTTTTTTTAGTTATGTTTGAATTATTTTAGGTATTCATAACATTTGTCTTTAAGCAGTGTTTTGATATCTAGAAGGCACACAAGGTCGAACTGTAAGTATCTTGCCCTGTATTCCCCTGAATACCTACTGAGCAGGAGCAGGGTGAGGGTAAAGAGTGATTTGGAGGTCTTCAAAACCAGGCTGGATACAACCCTTTGCCATGTGCGCTATTTGTCCCTGCTTGAGCATGGGGGTTGGGCTAGATGATCTCTAGAGGTCCCTTCCAACCTCAACCATTCTGTGATTCTGTGACCCTTAAGCAAAGACTGCTGTCAAAAATGAACACCAATTGGCCCAAATGAATGATCTGTTCCCAAATGAGCCATAAGGTCATCAACCCAAAGTGGAGGAGGAGATGATAAATCAGCTCTGCAATTCCCTTTCTCGCTGGAGCTGTGCTGTGGGAAGGAAGAGTAAATCCAAATCTCATGTCCCATGTCCAAACTGCCTGCAGATGACCAACAACCATCACCAATATCTAGCAGAAAACTAGAAGTCCTCGTGCTGACAGGTGGCCCTTAGAGGAGTAGAATGAGCAGTGATGGTGAAACATCTTTCACCATCTAAGCAGTGCATCTATTTGATGAAAGAACTTGGCAACTAGATAAAAACGCAGCACAAGCAGAGTTATCTCATTTCTACCAGCTTTGTTACCCAGAAGAAATCCAGCACAGACAAGCACTTCATGTACAATTTAAATGCAGATCTTCCTGCATGAAATAACCACAGCTCCCTAATAGGGTCCAAGGGGCGAATATTTGCTTTAAATTGAAAATGAGCCCCCACAGATTGGAAGCAAAATAATGTTTGCCAGGGATTGGGTATGGGGGAAGAAGTTTCCGCTGGGAACTGTCCAGCAAGGGCTGCCTGAACGCGCTGTACGCGGCTGCCTGACGCCGGCTCCGCTCGCCTCCCCGTGCGCTGGCACGAGCCTCTCCACCGGGGACAGCAGCAAGGGGCCCTGAAAATACCGTCCCCATCTCACTAAAATAGCACCCCCCTCTCAAGTTGGTGACATGTGGACTTCATCACGTGTTTGGACAGAAATATGCCATTATAGGGCATGTATCCCTGTATTATAGGAATTTCCCTTTTCTAAAGCCATTAAAAGTGTGGTCTTTGTTGGAGACCTCCTTATCCGTCCACAGGGCTAGACATGTTAGTCCATGCCAGCCATATCTATTACCAGCTGAGCCCAGCTGGGAGCAGTTAAGCATGCTTTCAAAACCTGCTTTTCATTTCCCCATAGCACATCCTCTTTTTTAAAACACTGCCAGTGTACTTTAGAGGCAGATTTCTGCAAGCTACATTGTGCACAGCACTTCACATCAGCTGGTTCACATGCGCTAGGTGAAGCTGTTTGGAGCCATAATATAATGAAGTGCATGGAGGCAGGTCCCAGGTCAAGGCTGTGTGTGTGGAGGTTATCAAACAGCGTGCGCCTCCTTTCCTGTAAACAGCATAATCCAAAGCAAAAGCAGTTCTATGTGCTGGAGTCTGCAGTATTTGCTGAATAGTACTTGAAACTTAAGGGTAAGCCTATCTGACAAGGAGGAACTAAAAGCTCAAATCAAAGAATGCTTTTTAGAGAAATCTTGGAGGTTTCTAGATTACACAACTCTAGAGTTCTTTTTGGATCTCCTGATGACCATTATTCATTCATGCAATGAACCGTCAGTATAGCGGGCTCTGAATTTTTATGATTTACACTACCTCCGACTTTCATATTTATTTCCACTATATATGAAAATTCAGTCTGATTTATTGGTGCAAATGTGTGCAAAATCCCATAGTTTCCCAAGGGTGACCAAGTTACCTCTCTGTTAGTTTAAACAGATTATTCTTGCCATTTAGGGGGGTATCTTGGGTGTACTTTCCCTTTTGGAGTACTTTCCACAGAGCTCTAGGGATTCTCATTTACCAAAGGCAGCTTGCTTTCAGTGGCTTTACCTTAACTTCTGTAAACCTATTGTAACACCAAACAGCTGGGGAAACCCTAATAGTTTAGCATCTCCTGGGAGAGAAATACAGAGCACTGAGGGAAGAACTCAGCTGCCACCAAGACCTGTGTTGTTGACACCTGGGCTTTTTACTGCGGGGGAATCAATGGGAAAAGCAACTTTTATAGGATTTCTCTGCAAATTAATAGAAGGAGGTTAGAAATGGGGCAGTCTGATTTGTAGCTAGTGACTACAATCCTTATATGACACTGCCTTTTGTAAGCAGGCAAGATATCAGGGAGCATCTCTTCACTTTCCAGGGGTAGCTCAGCTCCCAGATCAGTATTTCTGTGCTGCTGTGGTCATCGTCCAGGAGAGAAAGAGTTTCACACACCCGTGTTCTTTTCCCTGCAGACTACAGAAATCCATTTGTGCAGATTTACCCAGAACATCCTGATATCATCTACATTTTAGATGCTAAGAAAACGGTGGTTGTCCCCTGCCGTGTTACCTCTCCAGACATCAAACCCAAGCTTCTACAGGTAAGTGATTGCTTCAGAGAAACCAAAATAATTCAGAGATTTGGGTAAAACTGCAAAATAAAATGCACGAAGCTAGGAAAGTTTAAAAGAATACCACAGGCATTGGAAATCCAGAAGCACAGCCCTGTTTTAGCAAGGCATTAATATGAAACTGTGCACAGCGCTGTTGTTGGGTTTAGGTTGAGTCAGTCCAAAATTTTTCCCATGCTGTGGCTTGATGTTCCTGCATGCATTAGCAAAGATGGATGGCAAGAGAGTATTTTACTTGAAAATTCTTTGCAGGACTGGCTATTAGCTAGCCCATGAAAGCTTATTCCCTGAGGTTTCTTCCTCATAAGAGCAGCCCGATTCTGTGTGATTTCATAAATTAGAAGCAAGTTAGGGAGATGACTACAGCTTCTCCTTGGGCAGCAGTTACATCTGAATATCAAAGTTGCACGGTAGCCTGTGGAGACCAAGGGCATTTTGCAGAATATAAATGGAAGTTTAAGGTCAAGGACTTCCTTAAAGCCGATGAATTGATGTGGTGACAATCACTTAACGGGCTTTTGAACTGCTCTCCAGAGGCCCCCAGCAGTGAAAGGAGCAGAGTACAGGTCTCCTGAGTGCAGCCCAAGCTCTGCCTCAGAGCCTTCCTCTGCAGCCTGCACTGGAGGGCTGTGAGCAACGAGGTTGTTTTGCTGCATAGGCCTCGATAAGAGCACGTGCAGAGGCTGGGCTGCTTCTTCTGGTTGTTGAGTGTCTCCTGCTCCTAGGAGACAGCACGTGAAATCATGGAGGCCTGGGACAATGTTCCAGCTCTGGCCGAAGCCAATGGCAGATTTCCAGGAGACGTGCGTGGGGACAGCGCTAGCCTTATTACTTTAGCAGATCTCTATTTTTAAGTTTTGCCAGTAGGGATTAAAGCAGAGAGGAATAAAACTCTTCTCCCTGTATAGCTTATCACTTCAGCTCAGATAAGTGTTATCACTGTCTCCTTCTTGACTATAAAAATGAAACATCCCCATCCTACTTCAGCCCGCTTCAACCAAATTCATTGCTGGAGTATCACTGTCGACTGCGGCAGAGCCACGAGTCTAAACGTGGCCTTGGAAGCCCCACCGAGCAGAGCTCCAGATTTATCCCCTCCTTTGTGGGCAGCGAGCTCTGCTCTATCCCAGGCACTTCTTCAAACGCAAGCCGAGGTCCTTGATCTTGCTACGTGGAATGAAACCTCTGCTGATTTCCCCTTTGAATTGCAAAGAAACCTGCCCTTCAACGTTTCTTCCTCTTCGCGAGGACTGCAGGGAGGGGATGTGTGTGTTGAGTGTCACTCCCCAAAGGAAGGTCCATGGGCCACGAGCGGCGAACACGGCCCCGGCGCTGCCGAGGACGCGCGTAGGGAGGGGCGCGTGGCGGCAAGGAGCGCCCA